ACTATTTACACTACCTTGAATGTCATGATTTGATAAGTGCACACCAAGGAGTTCTATATGCATGTTGAAGCAAGTTTGGGGGATTTGTGAAGTACATGTCTTGCTAATCTCATTCCCCCTATCGTTTTTCATAATGCAGCTTATGACTGTAATTTATATACTTTTGCAGGATGCCTCCAAAGTGAACATCAAAAAGAAAGGAGAAGGTTGGTTCCACATCTGGCACAGCCCGGACTAGGGAGCCCGAAGGGGGTGTCAGGCGATTTCTATTTTTAGAGCAAGCAGCCCGTTACGCCAATGTAGTCCGTGAGTGGGCATTCCTTCCCGAAAGACCAGTTAAGTAGGATGATTTTCTGGGTTTTGAATTGGTGTATTTAATCCATAATTGTGGTTGGGAAAAAGTGATTGAAAGACCACAGCCCGTCTATGAAAATTTGGTGTGAGAATTCTATACCAACTTCAATGCTGAAATAGACACACCTGGATCCGATCATCGGCATCAAACATGGGTTCGAGGTAAATGGATCATGTTTTTCCCGAAGTTATTCATGACTACTATCAGCTGACCTGGACTAATGTTGTCCTAGTCCCGCATGATTTCAACTGGGTTGAAGTTGCAGAAGTTTTATTGGGACGTGAAAATGCTTGGCCTCTCCCTAATGCTGATTGGAACCAGATTGACCTCACTCCTTCTATAACCATCATATGGTTGTTTATCTGCCACAACATCGAGTCCATCTCGCATAGGACAACATTTACAAATCAGAAGGTGGGGTTCATCTATCACTTAGTTCGGGGCAACAAGATTGACTTGGCTACTTACATTTACAACCAGATACACATTACAGGCGCTTGGGGAGACAGGCACACCTCACTGATTTTCCCGAGATTGATCAGTAAGGTTTGTAGAGCTACAGGTATACAAGTTCAGCTTGGAGAGGCACCGGAGAAACCAAGTCCATTTATCAAGCACCTCACACTCGAGACCCAGGACCGAGCCAGAACTAAACATTAATAGAAATTGGAAAACGAGCGCTGGTAACAGCAACAGGCTAAAGAAGGGCAAGCAGCAGAGGACTTTGAAATGCCACAAGCTCCACCAAGATCTGCTGACGTGGACACCCAGTTATTGAGGCAGATGTTTGCCACTATGACTGGACACAGTTGAGACATGCAGCAGCTTCAGCACTCCTTTGGAGCACTGAGTACTACCATCCAACAGGTGCAGACAGATATGGTATCCACACAAAACTTCGCTTCCATTGCAAGCAGTGAGTCCCTCTCGGCACGTCGAAAGATGAGTACCTTTGATGGGCGATTGGACATGTACGTTGGGAGGATGGATGGTATACAGTGGCGAGTAAACGAGACTTGGGACCGTCTAGGGAGCTTGGAGACGAGGGTTCAGACCATGCAGGTGGAGCAGTCCCAGCAGTCTGCCATGTTGAGAGAGGTCTTATCCCGCCTTTCTCCCTCTCCTGGAGATGATGATGCTGGACCCAGCTTTCCTTCGCAGCCACCATTTTGATCAAGGGAGTGTTGTTTTGTTAATCTTACTTTGAGGACAATATATTAACTAAGTTTAGGGAGGGTGACATAATTTTAAATCTCTATCCGTGTTCATCATTATCTATTTGACATTGTTTTCCATTACTACATAATGTATGCATGATGAGTGCTATAAAAAAAATTTGCATTTTATTCAGTTGTTTTAAAATCTCTTCATGCATGCTTGTGTGGGCTTGATAACCTTGTTATCTATGATGATATTATTGGACTAGTGTAAACTGTAAAACTTTGGATCTGGTATTAATTAGACTAACTGATACTTGTTGATGCAACACTTGACATTATCTATGCACGCTATTCATGCTTGACATATTAGGATAATAACTGGATTTTGAGCATAAACCAGGAAAAGAATGATAACCCTCTATTGAATTAACCCATAAACTACCTTAAGACAGTTTGGTGATAGTTTAGCTATTATCGGAAAGCATTAAGATGAGTGGGGACTTCGTGCATGAAATTTATTGTATGGATTACCTGGACCAGTGGGATGAAGAGTAGGTGAAAATCTTAAATTGGGGGTTGATTTTGGAAACTAAATGTCTAGAAACATAACAAAGGGCACAAACTTAATATGTGAGAATAAAATACTTCTTTTCATGCCTTTATGACTCGAGTAAGTAAGCGTGTAAGGATATTTCAAAATCTGGTGCCCTAAAGCCAACTGGCGTTACTGGCCTAGGAGTCACCGGCTCAAAGCTCGATACATGGATTATATAGAAAGTAAGAGGGAAAGAAGTTAATAAAAAGTCATCTTATCGAGCCTTTATAACTCGAGTGAATAAACCTGCAAGGGTTTAAAATCTGGTGCCCTAAAACCAACTGGTTTGGGAATCACCGGCCTAAAACTCGTTACATGGGTTATATAGAAAGCAAATGAGAAGATGACAATCAATCAGAAATTAAAGAAAGGTCAGAAAAACAAAAGATAGACAATAACATGATGAAAAGTCCTTAGACATTTGGTTAAAGACACTATACCTCTAAGGCGAGGCAAGTAACTTAGTTTAATCTTGAGTGTCGAAGCAATCAAACTTAGGAGAATCTTCACTTTTTGAAATGTAAACTTGTGATAATAAGGCTAACTCTAAACTACGAGAGGGTGAGGATTACCGCTATATAAATTCCTAATTTTAAAACACAGCCCCGTGATAATTGAGTGAAAATAATAAGTTTGGGGGGTTGTGTATCTCTCGAGCGAGTAAGGATACATTTGACCACTTGGGGTCGGGACTCAAATTCATCATGAACCTGATATGTTGGCATGAATTTACACACACACGTCAATTTGCATTTAACAGGTAAAAGTTGGTGTCTTGTTTGCACTGATAAATTTTCATAAAGTTAAATACTTAGTCCAATCCTGAGCCACAACAGGATATTAAGTCATGTTTGTTCAGAATTAAGTCATTATCTTGTTTGAGGACAAACAATAGCTCAAGTTTGGGGGGTTTGATAAGTGTGTTTTTGCACACTTATTTAGGTCACAAACATGACTGAATAACGAGCAAAATGATTGAATTATGATTTAATCTCGTTACATTTGTGAATTGTAGGGAACAATGATGAACATGGTGAAATTCAGAAAAAAGATGCGAAAAGGGACTAAAATGATGCAAAGTAAAAGTTCAGGGAGCAAGGTGCAATTATCCAAAAGTTGACCCGATGAACAAATCGAGAAATTGATTAAGCCAATTGCCAATTGATGATATCTTGGGATGATAGAATGAAAAAAATGAAGAAATGATGTCAAGAAGTGAAGGATTCAAGTAGAAGGACAAAAATGAACACCTTTCATACTTGGTAGTACTATGCGACCGCATAGTGCTACCCTCTATGCGGTCGCATAGAGCTAAACTGAACTTAAAATGCAAGAAAATTTTTACTCTATGCGATCGCATAGAGTTGCTCTATGCGGTCGCATAGAGCAATTCTCGGGTAAAATTGCAGTTTCTTTTTTCCGTCGAAACTCTTATGGAAACAATATTTTTAGGGTTCTAGATAAACAAAAACTCGACCAGAACGAAGGGGGCACCATTTTTACAAATTTTTGAAAGATTTTGAAGGAGAAACGAGGAGAGAACAAGAGGACAACATCGCGGCAAGTGAAGATTCGATTGAAGATGGATTCGGGTGATGACGTTCTTCAACTATTTTTATGTTTTCTTCTTTTTAGCATGTTAGGCTAGATTTTTCATTTCTAGGAGATCGATGAACCTTGTAATGCTACGTTTGATTTTTGATTTGGATATTTGACATCTTTAAGCGCATATTCCGGAATTGAATGGTTTATTACGTTTTTATTTCCATATGATTATTGTGCACGTAATTATGTGATTGTGGTGGCCTGTTTTATGCATTCGAAAGAAGGAAAATATGTTCGACATAGTATAAATCATCATAGGGTCCGATAGGGGATATAAATATACTTCTATACCTTGTGTGAATTAATGGATATTCATGAATTTATAATGCATTTCGGTATGTTAGTATTCGTCATAGAAATATAGTCGAATCATATATTGGGATAGGTTTGGCATTGCTTGCGAGAGATTGCTAAATTAAAATAGGAATATTGATTTATCTTTTGTGAAATTGCGTGTCAAATTTGCATGATTGAAAATTGAACGGGTATTGCCTGGAAATTCGTGATCCTAATGCGTTAGTAAATTCATTAATTCATAAATTTGAGTTAAATTGCATCCAAGTTTTTTTTACATTTAATATAATTTTTCATTCATAATTGCATCAAAGTTTAAATCTTTTTAGTTAAAGTACAAAACATCAATTTTACTTTCGTGTTTCGGTTAAGGTCATAATAGGTTGATTTGAACCAATTCAATCCTTGTGGGATTGATACTTGGACTCATAGTCAATTTTACTACTTTGTTAACGAACTGTACACTTGTGGTGAATTTTAAATCGAAACAAATAATTTCATGAACAATAATAGAACAAAATCACAGATGAAGTGCAGGAGATAAAAAGGTTCACTTCAATAGACATAAGAAAATATTCGACAACATTTGATAGTAGCTGCTCTCATAACTATGGTTGTTTTCCTGGATATCAACATTGCAAGTCGTACAGCATAAATGAGGGCCTGAACCGAGGCTCGCCAATTTTATCTGGAAAAGACTTTTTAAAGTTTTCATAATAACAGATACATTAGCGCTAGTTGGGTCTAATTATGTATCTCTCTGCCTCATTAATTCTTTGACAATGTGAAGCTTGTGCGCCAGTATATCAATGCCTTAAAAGACGAGTTTTAAAGACTGAGGCTCACACAAGAAATAAATTTTTAAGCGGACAATGATAGTACCTAGATGATTATTTTGCAACTTTATGTTGTCATTGGGAGGGTACTGGTTCCTCGAAAATCAGTAATTTGGGAGGGTTATAGTTTTCTTGGGAGGACCCAATAATTTTCTCTACTCATTTCTATCTTTTTCTTCTTTCTTTAAGAACAATTTGTATTCATAACAGAGTGAACATCCCAACAGATTCCACGGCAACTTATCATTTAATTGGAAGTTAACACTGACAATCAACATTTTAACAAATGCAACTAGCAGGTTTAGTACATCATGCTACGGATTTTAATGGAAAATTAAGAACTTTTATCAGATTAGGGTACTTTTGGCAATTAAATATGAATATGAAGATATGAAAAATGCCCAACGGAGTAAGCATAAAACAGAATACTCGCATAAACTTACAAATAATTTACACTCCTAAATGCCCTTTTCATTGGGTAGTAGAAAACAAGAAAGCAGAAGCTGCAAATGACACATTCTATGATTGCAAGTTCTCGAGAATGTTCTAACACCGCGTATAACCCAGTCATGAAAGCAATTACCATCACCCCCATGGCAACCATAACAAGCATTGCAGTAGCAAGATACGGATTCATGAGCTTTCGTTTGTCAATTTCAGCTGCTGCAAAGAAGTGGAGAAAAACAGCCGAAGCAGAGCAAGCCATAGCTAATGTATCCGTTATAATGAAAGCTTTAAAAGTAGCTTTTCTTGATAAAGTTACCAGGCCTTTGTTTGGGCCATCATTTCCATCATACCCACCTGGAATAGTAAATTCGGTAGCAAATGCAACTGTTATTATGAGAGCAGCCACTACCATATGAGTGTCGCCTATTTTTCTAATATCTGTTGGAACCGTTCTTTTATTTTTAGGACAATGCTTCTTCATCATCAATAGCAAACTATTTTCAAGAATCATTGCATTTGAGGCAACTAGCTTAGCACCATTTGCTTTTAATTCCTTCATTACGGCTCCCTGCATTTTGTCAAACAAAGGAGTTGAATCAGAGACAAAAAGATAAACTGGAAAAAAAATTATCCATGAGCGACATTGTCTATGGTAGACACTATTGTTAGACACGGAAACTTGACTTCTGGTATCCTCATTTTCCATCAAGACATGTCTGGTACACATAATATGGACAAGATTTTAACTCTTCTTTAATACTGTCCTAAACTGTAGTTTTTCCTACCCAAAACAAGCTAGTCCTAAAACCAATTACAGGAAAAGAAGGTATTTGTCCTCTGTCATTTCATTTAGAGCATCACTTATTTTAGAAAACTCACTAGTTCGACTTGGCACATTATTATGATAAGAGGATAGTAGTAACGCACTCCTTTCGCACCTTTCAAATTGTTTTTCCGTGTTGTATAAGAAATAAAGTGAAAGTCAAATTGTTTCATTCAGAAAATAAAAAATGAATAAACCTTAAAAGGATTGAAAGGAGATTATCTTCACCTGTCTTTTTAAATAAACATCGGAAAACGTTATCAAATCAAGAGGCGTCTTATTTTCCTTGTTCATAGCGTTCCTCTGCTTGTGGATTGTTTACAAGAGCACAGCTGTAGAAATCAGGAGTTGCAGCATATGCGTGGAGAGGTGTGTTTCCCTCAGCATCTTTTTGGTTAATGAGGTTGCCAACCCATGATTTTTTCATGATAAATTTAAATGCTTCTTCTTGTTTGAATTTCACCGAAAGGTGTAGAATATTTTGGCCATCTCCAGTAACCATCTCCTAGCAATCAGGATAATATGTTAAAATCTTTTTGATTATCTTTACGTTCCCCTCACAAGTTGCTATATGAAGAGCCGTCTTATTTTTATCTTTTCCTGCAACTACGCATGCTATCGATTTATTAGCCATTAATAGTTCCTCTGCTACTTCATTGGATCGATGTAGTGCAGCATAATGGAGAGCACTCCTTCCAAAATCATCTACTTCTGTCATTAGAGTTGGATGTTTTTCCAACAACTTTTCTGATATTCCTGCATTCATCAAATTTTGAGTGAGCATTAGACATTAGCTAGAGTGCAATAAAGCAATTCTCATGCAGAAAAAGCATGTACTAGAATGATAAGTGGTTGATTCATATAATGAAACCAAAATCCAAGTCCTGGAAAAAAATATCAAAATTCCATAACAACTCCTAAATCAAGATAAATATAATCAAAAACGTGTTTTTATGGAAATTAGAGTATTGACCAAGACTACACTAAAAATTAACCTCGAGTATTAGCAAGGCCACATGACAGAGTCCAACTCCCTTCAGCCTATATTAAGTTCCAAGAGCATATTCTTCTACAAGAATAAAGAGTTGCTACTGTAAAATTAAATACTTACTGAAAAGTAGATCACAACATAGTATTGGTGCAAGTTGATTGGTCTAATGAATGTGACTTGGATTGTGCTAGTTATGGGGTGATATGGACCATAGATTAAATCCAATGGTTGGATTTAATCTAGTGGTCAATTACCTATACTAGTGTTGTCACTCTCTAGACCATAGTACAATATTTAAATTTTGAATTCAAATGAATTGGCTCTATAATTTCAAGACCTCTTCATTCTCTCTACTTGGACTTGGCATAACATTTGAGAGAGAGCATAGAGAGATAACCAAGTGGGAGCTTTCCATAACTCCGGCGAAATTCTTGGTGGCTTCCGGCGGATCCTTTCTCTGTATATCCATTGCTATTCCCGTGGACGACGGTGCATGATCTGGTATGGCACAAATCTGAGCTCAACATCAAGAACACTTCATTGGTGGTGTTGAAGAAGCTTTGAGTCGGTTTTGGTTCGATTTTAAACTTTGAGAGTTTATTATTCCGCATTGTAGTTGTAATAATTTTTTGTATTCTACACTTAAAACTCTGCAAATGGTATCAGAGCTTCGGCTAGTGGTAAAAAGTGTTAAAACAACATGAAAATCGGATTGGAAGTCGAAGGGTTTCGATTTTGTTTGAAAACAAGTTGAGCAGAAACTTTGAACCCATTTTCTGGAAAAACTACACATCTGGTGGACGAACGGAGACCACCACTAGACTTCAAACATCAAGCAGAACATTTCGGTGCAGCGCGTGTTGGACACGCGTCGGCGGTGGAGATGGCACGTGAGACCATGCGCAGAGAACAAGGGCGGCGCGTGAGGAGTTTTCGGCCGGAGGTCAAAAAAGACAAATTGTTCCTTGATGAATTTCTGACCTTCTGATGGTGTTGGATTTCAGTTTGGTGCACTTTGGAAGCAGATACAGTCTTGGGCAAAAAAGTGGAAACGGAGAAACTTTTTCGTTGGTGGCTCAGTGGTGTTTCCTGGTGTTTCAGCAGCTGTTGGATGACTTAGGGCAGTTACTGGAGGCTTCAAATCGATAAAGACTCGCATCTCTCCTTAAAATACGAACCAATAGATTGGTTCGCTCGATTTGCGCATTCTAACACCCTCTCGAATTTACAATTGAAATATTGTGTTATTCGCTGTCATATTGTTACTTGATTCTTGTGATATTGGTTATGTGTTACTTGTTATGATATCATCATTTATGTTATCTTAGAAAGTAATTTATATATAAATTGGTTTGAGCTTGTATTTATGTGTGGGTAAATTGGCTAAGTAAAACTTTTTTCGAAAACACTATTTTGCTAATATGGCCTCTCGAGTTGAATTGGCACAATTCAATGGTAAGGGAGATTATTCCATTTGGAAGCAAAAAATGAAAAGCTATTTCAATTCAACAAAAAGTTTCTAAAGCTCTTGACGACTCGAAAAAATATCCCGATGCATTAAAAGTTAAACCGGATGAAATTACCGAGATGAATGAAATTGCACATAATTTGATTATATTGCATTTATCTGATGATGTGTTAGGACAAGTTCAACGACAAAAGACTACCAAAGAGTTGTGGGAGGCACTTGACAAGCTTTTTTTTGGAAAAATCTCTTCCAAACAAAATACATTTGCTTAAAAAACTGTTTAGTTTTAAGCTGGACCCGAAAAAGGATCTTGAATCAAATTTGAGTGACTTTAACAGACTCATCAAGTGTTTGACCCACAATGACAAGAAATTTGGTGATGAGTATCTAGCGGTTATACTTTTAAATGCTACGCCCGAATCTTATAGAGATGTTAGGAATGCTATCACGTATGCTAGGGATAATTTGAACTAAGATATTGTGACTGATACTTTGAAGGCTAGGGAGCTAGAGCTTAAGAAAGAGTCGAGGGGTAGCTCAAGAGAAGAGAGTTTGTTTGCTAGATGGAGGAATGAGACAAGGGAGAACCATTTTCAAAGTAAGAAGGGTAGAGAAAAATCGAAGGGTAGGTCTAACTCTAGAGATAAGAGTGGTAAGAAATGCTTCCATCGTGGCAAGTTCGGATATTTCAAGAAAGACTGTAATGACTTTAAAAGGAAACAAAGACCGTAGCAAAATGATGATCAGAACTTAGTTGTTGTAAGTGATTCCCTTGATTGCCTACATGTTATGACCGTGTCATGAGATTTTGACACCGAGTTAAATGGTGCTCGTGATAACATACATGTCATGAATGTTTCTAATATTGATTTTAACACTGAGTAGGTATTAGACTCGGGTGCTACTGTTCATATGTGTCCTGTTAAATCTTGGTTCTATAACTATAGAGATGTGAATCCTAGAAAAGTATACTTAGGGGATGATCGTACACACAATGTAGAAGGAGTATGTGATATTGATATTAGGATGCATGATGGCATTATCAGACCCCTTAGAGGTGTTAGGTATGTCCCGGGCCTGGCAAAGAATCTCATTTCCTTAGGCACTCTAGAAGAAGAAGGTCATGAATTCAAATCTCATGCTGGTACTTTAAAGATTTGTAAAGGATCTCTAGTGGTTATGAAAGGTCCCAAGAAGAATGTGTTATATGTCCTTCAAGGTAAAACCTTGGATAGTAAACAGTCGGCATTATCTTTAGTTTGTGAAGATAAATCAGATCTTTGGCAAAAGAGGATGGGACACATTGAGAACAAAGGATTGAAATACCTTAGTGACCAAAATTTATTTGGTAAGGATAGTGTTACACCTTTAAGTTTTTGGGAGATGTGTATTCTAGGAAAGTTACACAAGGTTAGCTTTGGGACAGGTGAACATAGCACTAAGAGACCATTGGACTACATTCACGCAGATTTGTGGGGTCTTGAAAAACACCCCACACATGGAGGAAATAGATTTTTTCTATCCATTGTTGATGATCACTCGAGGAAAGTTTGGGTGTATCTCCTTAAATCCAAATCTGAAACTTTTAGTAAGTTTAAATCTTGGCTTGCCTTAGTTGAAAATCAAATAGGAAAGGGTGTGAAAACTCTTAGGACGGATAATGGTTTAGAGTTTTGCAACTTCGAATTTGATAATTTCTGTAAGGGAAATGGTATAATGAGGCACAGGATAGTAAGACATACCCCTCAACAAAACGGGGTAGCGGAGAGAATGAATCGGACTTTAATGGATAAAGTCAGATGTATGATGATTAATTCTGGGTTGTCTAAAGGTTTCTGGGGTGAAGCCGTGTGCGCTACTGCCTATTTAATAAATAGGTCACCTTCTAGTTCTGTTAACTTCAAAACTCCTCAAGAGTTATGGTCTGGAAAACCCCCAAATTTGTCACATATTAGAGTGTTTGGTTGTGCGGCTTATGCACATCAGGTTGAGGGCAAATTGGACCCTAGGGCTACTAAGTGTGTCATGTTAGGTTATCCAAAGGGAGTAAAGGGATATAGACTATGGGTTTTAGGTTTAAAGGGTATTAAGATTATTAACAGTAGAGATGTAAAGTTCAATGAACTTGATATGCCTTGTCTTAAAAAGCTTGTAAGTCAGAACAAACAGACTAAGGAAGGAGAATCTTCTACTGGAAAGAAGATGGAATTTGAGGCGAAGAGTTAGGAGATAATCTAGAGGATAGTGAAATCCAATCTCAAGAAGAATCTGATCAAGAAGCAGTGATAGAACAACCTGAACTTGAAATTCCTGAAACTGTTGTCCCTAATAAGAAACAACTGTAGGTACTAATTTGGATGATTACCAATTAGTGAGGGATAGATAGAGAAGACAAGTGAAGCCCAATTTGAAATACATCTCTTAAAATTTGATGGAATTTGTCCTAGTTTCAGGTGAAGCCTTGGAGTCGGTTGAACCGACTTCATTTGAGGAAGCGGTTAACTGTGAAAATTCTGAAAATTGGAAAAAGGCAATGAGAGAAGAGATCCAGTCTCTAAACAAAAATGAGACTTGGAAGTTGGTTGAAAAACCAAAGAATTAAAAGGTAGTCCATTGTAAATGGATCTACAAGTTAAAAGAATATGTAGGACCTAAAGACCCTTTAACATACAAAGCTAGGTTGGTTGCGAAGGGATTTACTCAGAGAGAAGGGATAGACTATAATGAGGTAATCTCACCAGTTATTAAGTATGAAACTATCAGGTTAGTCTTAGTCTTAGTTGTCCAGTATGATTGGGAGTTGGAGCAGCTAGATGTTAAGACGGCTTTTCTTCATGGGGAGTTAGATGAATTGATTTACATGTCTCAACCTCAAGGGTTTGAGGTGAAGGGAAAATCAGAACTTGTGTGTTTGCTTAAAAAGTCCTTATATGGTCTTAAGCAGAGTCCTAGGCAATGGTATAAGAGATTTGATGCTTATATGCTTAAAATTAGTTTTAAGAGGAGTGAACTTGATGCATGTCTATATTTTAATAACTCTAAAATAGGCTGTGAAGTTTATTTATTATTATATGTGGATGACATGTTGCTTACTAATCCTAATAAAGATGAAATCATAAAGATGAAATCATAAAGATGAAAAACCTTTTAAAATCGGAATTTGACATGAAAGACTTAGGAGAGGCGAGAAAAATCCTTGGCATGGTTATTAAAAGGAATAGGGCTGATAATGGGATGACTATTTGGATAAAGTGATAACCAAATTTGGTATGAGATTTACTAAGTCTGTCAATACACCATTAGCTGCACACACAAACTTATCATCTGCATAATGCCCTAAAACTGAAGAAGAAATGCATGAAATGAGTAATGTTCCCTATGCTAATGCCATTGGGTCTGTAATGTATTCTATGATTACCACAAGACCGGACCTTGCATATGCAGTTAGTTTCTTGAGTAGATTTATGTCTAACCCAGGTAAACCACATTGGACTGCACTTAAATAGCTATTAAGATACCTAGCAGGATCTTTGAAAAGGGGATTGGTGTTTGAAAGAAGAAATAACAAATTAGAACTTAAAGGATATGTAGATTTTGACTTTGCCCGGGGTAAAGATCAGAGGAAATCTACCACTTCTTACTTCTTCACTTTAGGTGATAATTGTATCACTTGGAAATCACAGTTGCAACCTATAATTACACTCTCCAGCACTGAAACAGAATATGTTGCATTAAATGAAGTTTTAAAGGAATGCATGTGGCTGAAACGCCTTCTATGTGAATTAAACTTCTTGAATAATAATGCTATGATTTTTACTGATAGTCAAAGTTCATTGATGTTGTGTAAAAATTCGGTTTATCATGAACGTACTAAGCATAGTGAGGTGAAGTATCACTTCATTAGGGAGAAGTTAGCTTCTGGTGATTTTATTTTGCTTAAAATTGCAACTGATGATAACCCTGCAGATGTTGGAACAAAAGTACATGCGGTTGGTAAGTTC